GTATTCTAATTTTTTGAAATCCTATTTTCATGGGTTTTATGAGCTGGAAGCCCAAATTGTGTAAAAATTAACAAATAAATACTTGAAATCGTTTAAATTGTGGGCCCTGAATCTATAATCTATGAAAGTTTAACTTTTTGAATGGAATTATGGAAATTAAACAACTTTTCCATGATATTCTAATTTTTTGGAAAGGGTTTGTATATGGTATTATTATTATTTTCTTTATTTATTTCACTCCCTTTTTGCACAGTTTGTTAATTTGATTTATTTATTTTTGCTCATTTCTCTCTCTCTCTATATATATATATATTTATATTTCTTGTGTGTTTTATTCTTTATTCTTACTCATCTTCTTATAGTTTCGGTGTGGAGCAGGTGCACAGAGCATTTCACTGCGTTCCACCAGGTATAACTGTGTCTGTGACCAATAAAGGCCTTGAATCCTTGAATGTCCTTGCATGTCCTGTTCTATTCAGCAAACCTGCCCCAAAATTAAAGCTCAGTTGCTGATTTTCTGACTGACAAAAAAGTTAAATCGCTGATCCGATCCCTACACAGTGTGAACGTGGACTCTTCTTTTTATCATGCCGGGTATTATCAGCCATATGGCACCACATGAGCAGCCACACAGCTGGGTTCTGGTGGACAGTGAGGTCTATGTTTCTGTCTGAACTGGGATCAGTTAGTTCCATGTTCAGTCCGATCAACGGCTGTGTGTACGCTCGCTGAGCTGTTTGTAGTGAAACCAGCAGCCTGCTGGGCCTGAGTGCGTCCCAGTTCAGAGGAAGCCTAACGTGTTCCCTGTTTCTATTTCAGTGTGCTGGTGGTTGCGACGGTCTGCAGGCCTCGGGATCTGTCTGCAGGTGTAATGGCAGCATTTGTCCACCAGGTGGCCTTAGAGAGCCCCACTGAAAAGCAGCGGCGCTCCATGCTGGGCAGCCTGAGCCGAGACCTTCACCTGGGGAGAGATGTCAGCCTGGAGCGACTGGCCAAACTCACCGCAGTATGTGATGCTGCTATTACCTCCTGAAGTTCACCTGGTCTGACTGAGCATGCTCTGTGATGGTCTCCCCCGTCTGCTTCTTACACATCACGGTTTTTAAATCCCCTTCACTGCAGGAATGAACCGCTTTAATCACAGTTCTTGCCTCCAGGTGTTTACCTGTCGCTATGTTGAGGGAACACCAGAGGCTTAGCTCCACCCAGCACACGGGTCATTGGTTTACAGAAATGCCAACAGTCCAGCAGAGCTTCTCCCTACACTAGAAAACTGACATGCAGCTGGAGCATGTTGTGCTGAATGGGCTGCTGGCTAAACAACAATCAGCTGGAATTTAAAGTGTAACCCTACATCTGGATGAAACTACGTCACGTATTTAAAACACTGTCAGTGGCCTCCACATCTGTAGGTTCTGAATGAAACCCTTTGACGGGTACACAGCTGAGGTTGATCAACATAGTCTGAACATCTGCCCGAACACATCCTCTGAAGCACTGTAGTTAAACAGTGTCATCAGGCAGTAGCTGATTGGTCGTTAACATGAATTAAATGCACATTTTTCCTCAAGCACAGCTTTTGTTTGCTGCACTATCAGAGGACGTGAGGAATCTGAAGAACAGGTCAAGTCAACACTACCACCAAGAGCATCCTGCATCCCTCATCGTCTGGAGGCAGGACAGGTCACATGATGAAGAACAGTCAGATCTCTGGCTGTCTGGGGAGAGAACCAGCTGTGAAGGAGAAGTGTGGAAAAGTTGAACAACCTGATTCGGCAGCGAGTTGACTCCTCCACAGCTTTATTGTCTCCTCTGTGCTCTGCAGGGCTTTGTGTTGGGGGATCTGAGTGCTCTGGTGGCTGAGGCTGGTCGAGCTGCATGCAGGAGGCTGATCCTCGCCTGGTGAGACTGTCTTTAAAGCTCATGGGAACTCTGCAGCCTTGCTCTGTGCTTTTAATATTTCCACACTGTAATAACAAGGTGTTGACGAGGGCTGACATGATTCCTCTGATTCAAGTAGTTTGATGAAAGTTCTTCAGCTTCGTTTGAGCTGCCATATACTACACTACATACTATACTACACTATATACTATACTATAGGTACTATACAATATATACTGTACTATATACAATATATACTGTACTATGTTCTATACTAGATATACTACACTATACTATAATATATATATATACTATACTATATATACTATAACATATACACTTCTCTATATACTATGCTATATACTATTACATTACGCTCAAGTAATTTAATAAAATGAAAATATTTTTTTAATCCAATGACTCAATTAATTACCACAATACTCACTTATTAAAATAATCAATAGCTGCAGCCCAAGTACTGACAGTTTCATAAGTGTCTGAACTCTCATCCAACGCCTGCTGTAGGCAGTGATGCTCTCAGCTTCTACCTGTGTGGATACGTGGGCTGTCAGGAGACGCCATGAGCTGTGATATGGAACCTGTGAATGGGGTCTTTTGATCAGCATCATCAGACCTACAACACACAGCAGCTCAGAAGCTCATCCCAGGACTTAAGTAATAATCTGAATCAATTTACATAGATTAATTGTTTTAATTGGTTCATCCATCCATCCATTTCCTGCTACCTATCAGGACTGAGCTCCTCTTAAATCATGTTTACTGCATCACCTGGAATTCCAACTTTATGTCCTCATTCTTATATGGTCCTTCAAAATGTGTCACATAGCGTCCTGTTCATAGTTATTATAGTGTCCACACGTTTCTGTCCCAGTTTGACTGATTTTCAGTTTGTGTAGCAAGCCCAGAACACTGCTCTCTGTAGGACGTGATCGTCATGTGTACAACAATCAGACAGAGTGTCCTCCAGTTCGCTGGCTGGACCTTACAGACCTGTTGTTTGTGCAGTGGTGGCCGGCAGCAGGAGGCTCTGTGTTCCAGTGGAGTGACCATTCTGAACCAGGACTTCACCGCTGCCCTGGAGACCCTGCAGGACGCCCAGTCTAAGGCCATCGGAGCCCCAAAGGTGACAACACACGACTCAGCACAGCAGGCCTCTAACGATTTAATCTAACGGTTAGATTTACAGTCAAGCTGAATGATTTAGCAGCTCCAGAGAGCAAACCAGAGCTCTCACTGCTGAGTGAGACACTCCCCCCAGCCCCCGNAGTCAGACTTTCATAGATTATAGATTCAGGGCCCACGATTCAAACGATTTCAAGTATTTATTTGTTTATTTTTACATAATTTGGGCTTCCAGCTCATAAAACCCACGAAAACAGGAATTCAAAAAATTAGAATACTGTGAAGAAATCAGCCCAAATTTTGCAGGCCATGAATGTTTTAAACTGAGTGTCACACACTAATCATCTACTAAACTCAAAGCACCTGCACAGGTTTCCCCAGGTGTCATTAAATTGCTTCAGTTCGGTTCAATATGGGGAAGACTGCAGACTTGACAACTGGCCAGAAGACCATCATTGATACCCTCTATAGGATGGGTAAGCCACAAATGTTCATAGCTAAGGAGGCAGGCTGTTCACAGAGTGCTGTGTCCAAGCATATCAATGGAAAGTCTAGTGGAAGGGCAAAATGTGGCAGAAGAAGATGCACCAGTAAAAGAGATGAGGGCCGTGGGCTTCAGCGGATCATCAAACAGACAAGATTCAAGAATCTGGAAGAGATCCAGAAAGAGTGGAATGAGGCGGGAGTCACAGCTTCAAAAACCATCACATTCAGACGCATCCGAGAGATGGGCTACAACTGTCGGGTTCCTCTGGTCAAGCCACTTCTGAGCCTGAGCCAACGCAAGAAGCATCTCAACTGGGCCAAGGAGAAGAAGGACTGGACTGTTGGCCAGTGGTCCAAGGTCCTCTTTTCCGATGAAAGTAAGGTGTGCCTTTCATTCGGAAATCAAGGTCCACGGGTTTGGAGGAAGACGGGTGAGGAACAGAACCCAAGCTGCTTGAGGTCCAGTGTGAAATATCCACAGTCAGTCATGATTTGGGGTGCAGGTGTTGGTCAACTCTGCTTTCTTAAATCTAAGGTCATCGCAACAGTCTACCAGAATGTTTTAGAGGACTTCATGATTCCTTCTGCTGAGGATCTGTATGGAGATGCAGATTTCATCTTCCAGCAGAACCTGGCCCCTGCCCATACCGCCAGAAGCACCAAACCTGGTTTGATGCCATCACAGTGCTTGACTGGCCAGCCAACTTGCCGGACCTAAACCCCATTGAGAATCTATGGGGTATTATCAAGAGGAAAATGAGGGGCACCAGACCCAGAAACAAAGAAGAGCTGACAGCAAGCATCAAGGAAATCTGGGCTTCCATAAGTATCAGGCAATGCCACAGCGCATCGAGGCAGTGATTAAGGCAAAGGGATTCCCAACCAAGTATTGACGGTTGGCATATCGTTTTGAAAGCACCTTATTTTGATTGATTTGATGTGATCCTATTTTTTTTTTTTCTGCAAAAAACTGAGACGTAAATGGTGATTTCTTCACAGTATTCTAATTTTTTGAAATCCTATTTTCATGGGTTTTATGAGCTGGAAGCCCAAATTGTGTAAAAATTAACAAATAAATACTTGAAATCGTTTA